CAAAGAGACCTAGGGTCTAAAAACGTTATTTCGATGAGGCTGATATATACCCTCTCTAGCCATTTGGTTGAGGGTACAAAAAAATATTTCAAGGGATATACATGCCATATAAACTATGTCCAAATTTAAATGATTTATAAAAGACTTGTCTTTCGGCATTGGTTTATCTTTATTTTTTTATACCCTCCACCATACTATGGAGGATATATTAATTTTGTCATTCCGTTTGTAACTCCTCGAAATACTCATGTCAGACCCAACAAAGTATATATATTCTTGATCAGCGTAAAATTCTAAGACGATTTAGCCATGTATTTTGATGATTTTAGCGACATTATTCACCGGAATTGTTTAAAATTTGGCATTTGAAGTTCGTAATGAATACTGCAGCATAAAACAGAAAATGGGCTATGTAGGTCCACGTCTTCGTATAGCCCCCATATAACTGTACCTCCCTATATTCGGTATTTTGATGATTTTAGCGACATTATTTACCGGAATCATTTTAAATTTGGTATTTGAAGTTCGTAATAGGTACTACATCCTAAGTCAAAAAATGAGTCATGTAGGTCCAGGTCTTCGTATAGCCCCCATATAACTGTACCCCCCGATATTCGGTATTTTGATGATTTTAGCGACAATATTTTAAGGGAATCGTTATTTATTTATTTTATTTTTTTTTTTTTTGGGAATCGCCAAATTTGTACCAAAAGGTGGAGGGTATTAAAAGTTCGGCCTGGCCGAACTTACAGCTTTTTTACTTCTTTTTTTTTAAGACGACATTATCTGAAAATCTTAATATTCTCGATTGTGTGCTATTACCAATTACTGTGAAGCTACGGTAGTAATTATTCTTTTATTATGTTATGAAAACTTTTCAGATATGCTAAAGTTAGAAAATGCTTACTGCTCCATGTGAAATACAACAAGAACAGAGAACAGAACACAGAAGGGCATTATAAATGATGTCGAAGTAGTTGTTAATATTTCTACGAAATATACATGCATGTTCTTGCCATGTATGTGTATGCTCTCCATAACGTATGGCCCCTGCCATAATGGTATCTCTCGAAATATATGAACATTGATGCATATTTGAATGCAAATGTAAAAAAAAAAATGAAAAAAACTGTAGCAGATTTGGTAATATGATGTTCAAGAACCAGAGGCAATGTGGGATGCATTTATTTTACTTTGGAACACATTATTCATTTGTTTCACCATGGAAATGATGAACGGTTTAGCCGAGTGCGAATGTGTTTTGCTCTTCTGGGTAATATTAGGTGGAAATGTGTGATTTAAAATGGAAACTTGTTCGGTACGAATTGTTGCTACATACACAGGTTTTATAATATTCTTTTCATTTCTAAGTAATCATCATTATTTATGAGAAGTAAGAAAAAAATCAAATATAAATGATCTCTCATTGCAAAGTTATTCCAATAAGAAACAAAAAATGAGAAAACTGTTGGAAAACAAAATGCTTAAACAGTGAGCTTTTTACAATTAAAGTTTATAGAATGCTATAAAAAGACATGATAAATTTGCATTGAGGTTATATTTTTCTATGGAAAATATTGTTATAATTAATTTCATACTGTTTGCAACAGATTCTTTGAAATTTGAAAAATGCAAACAATTTAATATAGTTACAAATAAAAAGCTTGAAAGTATTGAAGCGAACTTGCCTTTATAAAAATCATACGCTCTTATTTTATTAACATTGTGAGAAAAACTACATTGATAACCAGGAAATTAGGAGGATAAGGTTATAGGTTCGGTTTAGGAAAGGGAATGGGTATAAGGTAACACAAAATGTTTGAAAAGGATTTAAGTTTGCTCTATTTTGAAAATGATTTATCTTCCCATAGTATGAGACGTATTTCATCCTAACAAACCTTCCCAGAATCTTAACATCCATTAAATAACACCAATTGTCATAAGTCTTAGGTCGTAAATATCGTAAATTGAAAAGATAACAAGTAACAAGTAAAAAAACATTAAGTTCGGCCGGGCCAAACTTTTAATACCCTCCACCTTAGGGTAAAAGAAACATTAGAAGAAATGTGGCAAAAACCATTAAAATGCCGAATATCGGGAGGTACCGTTATATGGGGGCTACACCAAAACGTGGACCTATAATTACAATGTTCCGCCACACGAACTAGGACCCATTATAACCCACAAATACCAATTTTTAGACAAATCAGTGAAAAAATGTGGCAAAAACCCTCAAAATACCGAATATCGGGAGGTAACGTTATATGGGGGCTATACCAAATCATGGACCCATACATGTAATGTTTCGCCACCGGAGCTGGAACCCATTATGACCAACAAATACCAATTTTCAGATAAATCCGTGAAAAAATGTGGCAAAAACCATCAAAATACCGAATATCGGGAGATACCGTTATATGGGGGCTATACCAAATCATGGACCCATACATGCAATGTTTCGCCACCGGAGCTGGAAACCATTATGACCCACAAATACCAATTTTTAGACAAATCTGTGAATAAATGTGGCAAAAAAACTAAAATACCGAATATCGGGAGGTACCTTTATATGGGGGCTATACCACAACGTGGACCTATACATGCAATGTTTTGCCACATGCTCAGGGACCCGCTATGACCTACAAATACCAATTTCTAGACAAATCCGTGAAAAAAATGTGGCATAAATCATCAAAATACCAAATATTGGGAGGTACCGTTATATGGGGACTATACCAGAACGTGGACATATATATCACATTTTCAATACCATCCATAGACAATAGCTCTGCTAAATTTTGGCGCTCTACGTCAGATAATGTGGGCTGTATCGTGATTTCAACAGACAGACAGACGGACACCATTAAATCGAATTAGAATTTTATGCTGATTATGAATATATATAATTTATGGGGTCTAAGACGAATATTTAAGGATGTTACAAACGGAATGACAAAGTTAATATACCCTTCTTTCCAAGGTGGAGGGTATAAAAAAGCAGTTAATTTCGGCCGGTCCGAACTTTTAATACCCTCTACAATTTGGAAGAAACTTGAAAATTAGTTCGCATTTTATGAGCTTAATGGTTATTCACCCTTGTGGTGGAGGTACCAGATGGAGTGGTCCTTTTTACCTGCCTATACTCGATATTTTGATGATTTTAGCGACATTATTCACCAAGAATTGGTTCAAGTTTCTTATTTGAATATCGTAATGGCCTATGACAAAAATTGCATATAAAAGTCCACGTTTTCGTATACTCTCCAATATAATGGCATCACCCTTTTTTCTTCCAATACTGGCGGATATTGAAATTTCGGTCCGTCCGAACTTACTGCTTTTCCATTTGCTAATTAATATAAATTCGTAATAACTTAAGTATATGAAATTTTGTGATACCTTGAAATATTGATCCTAAACCCACCATGAACAGAATAACAAGTAGAAAATAAGCTAATTTCGGCTGGACTGAACTTTTAATACGCTCCACCATTTTGAAGAAGCTTGATTTTTTTCCAAGAAAAATTCCGTCGAAAAATATCGCCGTTACCGTTGTACCGTTATATGGGGGTTACACGAAGACGTAATTTTTTGTCATTTGTTTTTTTATACCCTCCACCAAGTATGGAGGGTATATTAAGTTTGTCATTCCGTCTATAACACCCCGAAATATACATTTAGATCCCACAAAGTATATATATTCTTGATCAGCATAAAATTCTATGTCGATTTAGCGATGTCCGTCCGTCTGTCCGTCTGTGGAAATCACTCTAGCTTCCGAACGAATTGGTGTAGATTGATAAAATTTTACTCATAAATATATTATGTCTTTTGAAATTGAAATTGGGCCATGAAGGACCACATTTTGGTATAGCCCCCATATAACGGTACCTCCCGATATTCGGTATTTTGATGATTTTTGCGACAATATTCATGGGAATTATTTCAAATTTGGAATTTGAAGTTCGAAATGGATGATTTAGCCTATGACAGAAAATTGTCTGTGCAGGTCCACGTCTTCATATAGCCCCCATATAACGGTTCCTCCCGATATTCGGTATTTTTATAATTTTAGCTCAATTATTTCTTGATTTGTTTTTAAGTTTCGCATTTGAATATTATAATGGCTTATGACAAAAGTTACCTATACAGGTTCATGTCGTCGTATAGACCCTGATGTTACTGCTATATTCGGTATATTTAAGATTTGAACAGAATTTTTAACGGATTTTATAGTTTTTGAGAATTGCCAATTCGTTCCAAATTTTTTGGCTGTGTTACCCATTACGAACTTTAAATACGAAACTTAAAACAATTCCGTTAAAAAGTTTGGCGAATATCATCAAAATGCCGAATAAAGAGAGGTGCCGTTATATGTAGGCTATATGAAAACGCGGATCATCCGCCATAGGCTGTAGTACCCATTACGAACTTCAAATACGCATCAAAATATCGAAAATCGGGGGTACCGTTGTATGGGGAATAATACGATAAATTCCATTAAAAAATTTGGGTACAATCATCAAAACACCAAGTATCGGGATATACGTGGGGATATACGTTAAAAAAATTTCCATTCAGCACCACTCAATGCTAACTTCCCGAACCCCTCAATAACATGGAAAAATCACATTGATACTGATTTCATTTAAATATAGAGTCAAATATGGAAGATATAGGATATATTCAATTATTGTTTTGATACCCATTAACATGACGGAGAGGGTAAATATATGTGACATTATTTTCAGAACGAAGTGGAACATACATAACCATAAGTACACGAAATGCTCATTATGCTTTCAAAATGAAAACCGAAATATCGAAAATTAGTGAAGGATGATGTTTTTAAAAAGTACAATTATCTTTCCCAATTTTATTCGTTCACTCTTCTAAGATGGTCATGTCTACTTTTCTTAAATTGTAGTACACTAGGGTAGCCTTTGTTGACATGCAGATAATGACAATAAATTGCAATTCTTATTTTAATCAAATTTCAGAAATACACTGGCAAATGTACATGTAATGCGTCTGATATCCTAGAAGCTATCAAAGAAAACGATTTGCTGCGCGAAACTATACGAGGGCCACCAGGACTACCGGGTAAAGAGGGTAAAACTGGAGCTCCTGGACGAACGGTAAGTTTCGAATTTTTCTAGTTTCTAATATGCCATGAAATGAAAATGTTAACAATTTTGATTACTACGGTTAATGTAGAACTGTTAAGGACTTAAAAAATTGTTTATACAAGTTATACATATTTGATGTTTACTGGAACTTATTTTAGTAAATATTTATTAATTATTAGCTTAGCAACATTCAATTTTCGAGGCACACCATACAGTAGGAGTACATTAATAAATTATTTGTGACACATAAACTCGTGTATGTATGGATATCAAAACCATTTTTATTTTGAAAATTTCTTTAATTTTTTTTCTAATATTTTGGGTCTATGTACTACATTAGCAATCTTCAATACTTTATTTTATTAAAATAATTTTATATTTTCTTTAAATTAGCAACAAAACATGTACAATAAATTTTTGTTATATAATAATCTCACATTTCCAAAAAAAAAAAAAAAATAATAATTTAAATGACGAGAAATATTGTATGGTGTGCTGTTTAATATTTTGAACTATATTTAATGTTAATAAATGTTAAAAAGCGTGACACTTGAATAAAATATATAACATTTATTGGAAATATTTCATGAAGTTAATCAGCAGACAAACTAAAAAGATTTTTGTTACAATGACATTATGCGGTTTTCTTCAAAATGTTTTAAATTTAATCCATTTTGTGCCAAAAATCTCATATCCCAACTAACAACAACAAATTGGCTGATTATATTTATGATTTTTTTTAATTTGTTTTAAATTTATATTCCCCACCCGTTTTACAGGTTACAATAACCGAAAAGGTAAACATTATTCAAGTTTTATTACCGAAAGATTTACAGCCTGTTCCACGATCTCGAAAGAAAATTTGTGCGAACGAAGGCTACTCACTCACTTTCGCATAAGAATGCGTTCCACTAACTTTCGTTCTTTCTTTCGCATAGCCTTACGTGATTCAGTGTTGCAAAATATTTTTTGGCAAAATTAATCGCGAAATAAGGCAAAAAAAAGCGCCAAATGTCTAATTTAAACGCGAAAAAGCAGCAGTGGCTCTGTCTCAACTGACAGTTCAGTTGTAAACAAACAAATTGTAAATAAACAAACAAAATAAAATTTCTAGTGATTGAGTTCAGATTATTTGTGTTCTTAAAAAAGAAAAAAATGAATATTTCTGTGGCCCTGTTTTTTATGGATGATGAGGAGGAGGTACAAAATGTGCCACGGAGGCATTTAAGAGATGCTTCGAATTTATTTGAAGTACCTAACAACCAGTAAGTATGATTGTATTTTTACATTTTTGAAATAATAAAAAATGATTTTTTCTAGGTTTGTGGCCAATTTTCGTGTGTCGAAGGAAGTTTTTCGGGCTCTTTTGGATATGATGGAAGAGAAGTGGGTGGCCGGTTGCAGAACTACCCAAATCCGCCCCGATTTAAAACTTGGCACATTCTTGCGGTTTTTGGCAACAGGAAGCTACCAACAGAATCTAGGGAACGAAGCCTTGACTTCAACAGCGAAGTCGACAGTGAGCAGAACCATTGCGGAATGTCTGCAGATTTTTGAGGACCACGTTTGCGACCAATGGATAAAAAAGCCGACACTTACAGAGGAACGCAACACAATGGAGGCTTTCTATGAAAGAACAATGTTCCCTGGAATTGTTGGATGCGTTGATGGCACGCATATCCGCATCAAGTCACCAGGGGACGAATTGAAAGCCCTTTACTATAATAGAAAGGGTTATTATAGTATAAATGCAATGGTGGTAAGTAAATACATTTATCGTAAAGCGATTTTAAAATTATTGTGTTTTTTCGAATTAGATATGTGACCATAAAATGCGTATAACATTTGTCGACGCTAGACATCCCGGAAGCAACCATGATGCATTTGTATGGGAAAGGAGTGATCCAGACAAGTGTATGCAAAGGGAGTTTGACAATGGAAAACGAAACTTTTGGATTCTCGGTGAGTAATTTGTATACATCTTATATCATAATACATCAATTACATTTGTGTTTTCTTTTTTATAGGGGATGGAGGATACAAATTGAAGCCCTTTCTTATGACGCCTTACCGCAGCCCTAGAGATGTCGCCGAGAAAAAATTCAATAAGAGACATGCTAGTGCGCGTAACGTCATTGAAAGGTGCTTTGGGGTCCTAAAAAACAGATTCCGATGTATCATCGGATCTCGGGGCCTTCATTATGACGCTGCAAAGGTAGTGCAAATTATAAATGCATGTTGTGCGCTGCACAACATGTGCATACACTACCGATCTGAAGAGCCGCCAGGTGATGTTATTGATGATGATCTGGAAGACGAAGTGGATGACAATAATGATCTTGAAAGCAGAGCTGACGCAATAAGGAGAAAAATTGCAATAAATTTGTAAAATTAAAAGAATTTTTTATTAAAATAAAATAATATAAATTAAAAATTAAAAAATTAGTTTAAATTATTATAAAAGGACTATAGTGAATTGTTTTGTGAATTGTTTTGCAAAAAAGTTGATAGAATTGCTTCTATAGACTTAAGCATTTTTGTTTGGGCCTCGGCACAATCTGCCATTCTCTCTGCAGCGTCAGCCATCCTTTTGCTTGCATCTGCTTGCTCCTTGGCTATTGCATTTGCCTGCTCGACCAGCCGCAATTGCCGACGGATAAGAGGTATTTGCTCTCCGACGTTGGAACGTTTTTTTGCTGATGATGTGGATGGAAAATTATGTTGTGATGTGCATTTGAATGGGGGTGATTTCTGCACGGTTTGATGTTCCATGTGTTGACGAGGGGACGTTGTTTGTTTACGTTGGTGTTGCTGTTGGGTCTGTGTTTGTTGTGTGTGTGCTGACTGTGTCTGTGTTTGTTGTGTGTGTGCTGACTGTGCCTGTTGTTTTGCAGTTTGTGTGTAGAAATGGGGTGAGATTTTTTGTCTTTTGGCTGGTGGTTGGTATTGTTGAGTTGTGATGGTACAGGTTTGTACGTTTATTTGTTGTTGTTGGTTATGTGATTCTGGGGAACTGAACTGCCTGGTAGGTGTTACCACTGCTACGGTCTTGGATGGTCTTGATGGTGTGGTATCCAATGCCTCGAAGCAGTAATCTATTTCGTCCGCGTAGCCAAAAGTTTTACCACTTGGTGCTGCGGACTTCGACAAGAAGAGTGTCCGGTCAATTGCTGTTTCCAGCTCCGTTAGGCACTCAAACCGGTATAAACCACCACCTGTACCTTGCAGCCCTTTTTTATTTTCCGCAATTTTCTTTTTGGTGCGGGACTTTAGATCGGCCCACGTCTGTAAATAGTAATGCCGGTCAGACAAATAGATCGTAAGCCGAGTTTTCTGACTTACCTTTTTCCACTCTGCAATTGTGCGGGAAGGAGGACCCATGGTATTTAATTTAAAAACTAACTTCTTCCAGTGGTCCTCCAGGGATTGCCTGCTGCTTCCAAAAATTGGCACTCCTCTGGCAAACTCGGGATTCTCCTCCATATACTCAACCAGTGCCCGCAGCTGTGTAGTTGATGATTTTTTCGTGCTGGAATTGAGAAAATAAAAAAATATATTTATTGTTCCCATAATAAATTGGATTTATTATTTTTACTTACATTTTTGTTTCCATTTTCAATTAAGCAATGTTTATGTTTTAAAACAGATTTTCCTTAATTGTTATCGTACGACAGCAAACACACAAGTGACTGATTTTGACATTTGTGTTCGCATGCGTACGAAAGAAAAAAGATAGTGGAACGCAAAATTACACTGAAACGCTTACGTTTTCGTTCGCATTGATTTTCGTGCAAATTTTCGTTCTGATGGATTTTAGTGGAACGGAAATCAGCTGTTTGTCGTGTAAAAGTTGTGCGAACGTGTTCTTTCGATATCGTGGAACAGGCTGTTAACCTTGCTTCATTAGCAGTCAAACTAACAATTACAAATTGGTTGATTGGAAGCACTTGTCTAACATTATTGACTAATTTTCAAGCGTTTGCAATTATTAACTTCTGCTTCTAACTTTCCCAGCATTAACAATTACCTTAAGAAATAGATTAATCTTTTTATGCCATATACAGACGAGAGCAAATCACACTCTGTATCTCTATTATCATAAAGGATTAACTCCACCTTTATTTGCCAGGTGTTAAGACCTCTCTCTCTCTCAAAACAATATTATATTATTAATAAATTGATATATCTTCTATATATACATAAAAATCAATTATTGTTCGTTGGTAAGGTAATCACTTGAGAACGGCTGGGCCGATTTGCATAATTTTTTGTACAAACGTCTATTAGGTTTTTAAAGACCACGTCTACTTTTACGCCCATTATTTCGATTTATCCAAAATCCTTATATATGCCAAAATAATGAAGATATCGGTTTGAAATTTATTACACGAGATACTGTTGACTTTTCATCCAACCCTAAGTATTTATTTACGGGCTGAGGAACTAACCACGGCTCCTTTATATCCATATATGTGTAATAATCAATTGGTAATTGTATCAGTTCGTTGGTAATTGAATCAGTTGAGAACCGAACCCTGGACCGATTTGGATTTGAAATAGTCGTCCTACCTCGAGTTAGGTTTTTATGCAAAGAAAGACGCCCCTAATAATTGAATTAAGAATTAAGGTAGCAAAGTAAGTTTTATATGTGTAAGTAGTATTGGAAACGTGTATATATATATTCTGGATCAGCGTCAGATTCTAAGAGGATTTAGCGACGTCCGTCAGTCTTTCTTTCCGTCTGCCTATTATAGTCACGCTATCTTTGAACGAATTGAGATACAATTTTGCAGATGTGCATAGTTTGCCAGTAGGTAGGTTAAGTTCGTAAATAGGTCTATGTCGGTCCACGTCTTCGTATAGCCCCCATATAACTGTACCTACCGAAAGTCGGTATTTTGATGATTTCAGCAACATTATTCACCGGAATTATTCTGTTTTATTAAATATTCATAGTCACGTCGGGTGTCATAAAGTCGGCACAGTCCAACTTTTGTCTTAAATTACAGGTTTTCTCTGTTGTTATGATATCATAACAACACAGTTACCAATGTTAAGTGCTTTTAGCCGCTTAGACAAAATTCAATTATTAAATTTTGGGCCCCTATTTTTGATCCACTGAAAAATTTTTTTGTCAATCTGCTCTATAGTTGTGTTTTATACCCTCCATTTGTTCAAGTAGTGCAATTATGTATCCCAATATTCTGAGGATATCTTTCATTCTATTCCAAAGGTATATTTCGCACTACCTTTCGAGATTTTTCTAAACGGTATAATTGATTCTTACTTCACTAATCTGATTTAACTATATATATTGTAAATTGGGATCAATTAAAAGACCAATCGTCTTTTCCGTTTGAGCGTTTGTAAGACACTGAATTTATTTATTAAAAACATTTCTTAAGAACTAGTTGTGATAATATGACTTAACCTAAATTATAACTAAGTGTAAATGAGAGAGAGAGAGAGATAGATACCAACCGTACACATGCATATGCACCATGCCACCATAAACCTTAGGGGGAGGTCATACACACGCATAGCTATCTCACATGTGGCAAGCAAACATGCTGCACTTGCTTATCAGTCTGAGTAAAGATTACATCCCCTAATCTAACTCCACCATAACACATGCAGCAATTGAAAATTCTGTATTATTTATTTCTAACTCGAAGGTCTGCTCACCACATTTTTTTATCTTATTTCATGTGGACTGTATTAAGAAGATCCCAGTTTAACAAATCCCTCTCATCTACACTAGGTAGCCCCGCTATTCTCTTTTATTATAAAACATGTTCACTTATCCGTGAACATTCTTGGCAGGGGCAAAAATACATATAAAATATAAAAATTACAAATATGAACAATAAAATAGATCTAATAGAAGTGACATTTTAAGAGAAAAGAAGTTAAGTTATAACACCCAAGTAACTCCTCCATCTTTCCAGCCTGTCTCTCTTGAACATCCCACCTCCTTTATCTGCCGGCTTCAATTTCCAGGCTGAATCCATTTTATCTGTCGTCTTCTTTTTGTAGCCAAAGTTCTCATCCTTCTCTGGAAGCGCCATCTCACCAACCTTGGACAGTTTATCGTTCCAGCGTTCATAATTTTCTGTCACTTTGGCTTGTATTTTATTCGCTGCACAAATTCCACTAGGCATCTTCATTACAACTTGATTTTCTTCCAGCATCTTATTATTCCAGCGACGCAGATTGCTTTTCTTCTTAGTTTTCATCTCGCTGGCAAACAGTTTATCTTCGACTTTTTCCAATCTCCCTGTGTCCAGTTTTCCAGGGAGCTGTTCATCTACCTTTTCCAAAGTTGATTCCTTTTTGGCAATTGGGTCTTCCATATAAACCTCTTCAACCATCATTTCTTCGTTGATATTGACCACTAATTTTGCAGCCAATTCATCAGCCTCGATTTTGGATGTTTTCTGCGATATGAGCAACTCTTCCTTAAGTTGCAATATTTCAGCCTCCAGCAGAAATATCCTTCTTTCTTTTTCTTCATCAGCTTCTAGATTTGCAGCCAACCCGTCACGTTCGGTTGCAGCTGCAAGTCGTTCTCTTTTTGCACAAGACAACTCATCACTAAGTTGTCTTATTACGGCCTTCAACGCCTTGCCCTCGCGTTCTGCCTCCTTGTTAGCCGCTCGTAATTTGTCCTTAGTATCCTCGGCTACACACACAGCATTTCCGACTTCCTCCTTCAATTTGGAGACAAGTTTGAGGGCATCTTCTTTTTCATCTTTCTGTGAAATCAAGGCAAACTCCATTTCCTTAATATCACCTTCCATTTTTCTCATTACGGCTACCGCTGCTTCGCGCCCCTCTCGCTCGACGTCCAATTTGGATGTTATGCAGGCCACTTGTTTCTTCAAGCCAAGGACTTTCTCTTTGGTCTCCACATTAAGAGCCTGCGTGACTTTAAGGATGATCTTAACATCTTCCAAATACAGCCTCGCTGTCTCATTCGGCTGACTTGCTCTGATAGCAGCGGCTAATTTGGACTTCTTTAGAAGCATCTCTAAAAACCGCCTATGAACGCATGGATACAATATTATGTCTCTTGCCGCGTCCATAAGTTTTTCTTTGGCGAAGTCAAATACGCCTTGTATGGCTTCTTCCGTCTTTAATGTACTCATTATTTCCATAATGGTACCCATCATTTCGAGAAGAATGGCAACATCTTCCTTTATTTTCATCATTGGCGGCCGTTTCACCGATTCGTCCTCCTGGGCATATGCATCATCCCTTCTTTCTGAAGATTTCAAATATGAAGCCCCCTCGGTGTGCACCGCCACCACAGTCTTCTGTGCTGAAATCTCCTTCTGACTCAGCATCCTTTTATTTGGCTTATAAATTTCTTCTGTATGGGAACAATTAAAGCTGTAGTTTTAGCTCGGTAATTTTCCACTCTTGAAGACCAATTTTAGCCTGATAGAATTTCCTCGATGTTAAGGCAAATTCTTCAACATTTATCCTCTACCGATCCGGCTCGAAGGACCAATGTAAATTGGGATCAATTAAAAGACCAAACGTCTTTTCCGTTTGAGCGTTTGTAAGACACTGAATTTATTTATTAAAAACATTTCTTAAGAACTAGTTGTGATAATATGACTTAACCTAAATTATAACTAAGTGTAAATGAGAGAGAGAGAGAGATAGATACCAACCGTACACATGCATATGCACCATGCCACCATAAACCTTAGGGGGAGGTCATACACACGCATAGCTATCTCACATGTGGCAAGCAAACATGCTGCACTTGCTTATCAGTCTGAGTAAAGATTACATCCCCTAATCTAACTCCACCATAACACATGCAGCAATTGAAAATTCTGTATTATTTATTTCTAACTCGAAGGTCTGCTCACCACATTTTTTTATCTTATTTCATGTGGACTGTATTAAGAAGATCCCAGTTTAACAAATCCCTCTCATCTACACTAGGTAGCCCCGCTATTCTCTTTTATTATAAAAACATGTTCACTTATCCGTGAACATATATGTACTCCACCAAGTCGGATGTAATTAGCTTATTTGCAACGAATTCTTTTTTCGATTTATTTTTCTAGTTCTTAACAACATTCATATGTTGCGTTTCAGAACATCATACCGATTTTATTAGGTGCATATATATGTCGTACATATCTAGGCTTCTTCATCCCACATATTTGTAAACAAATACATAACAGGATTTACATCCTATTGTATACAGTATTGCTATCACATATCCCTTTCTCTGTGTTACTATGGATTCGCTTATACGATTAAATGCCGGAGTGAACGAAGTGTGTTGTGTTTCTATCCTACTTTTACATATTTCATTTGAGAGGATTCGGCACTCTTTCCAAATGCAGTGCTACTCGACTAGTGCGTTGAAGACTTACTGCACTTCCTTTTACCTGTTTTTAATTATACCCTACAACACTATGTGTTGGGGGTATTATAAGTTTGATTGGCCCAAAAATTATGTAACACCTCGAAATATTGGTTTCCCACATAGGAAAGTATATATGGATCTTCCTAGCTCGCCGAGCTGAGTCGATCTAGCTATGTATGTCCGTCCGTCCGTCTGTCCGTCTGTCCGTCTGTCCATGTTAATTTGTAATCACTCTACAGGTCGCAATTATGGCCCGATCTTCACGAAATTTAGAATGGAGGTGGGTCTCGGGTCAGAATAGAACCCTATTTCTTTTGGAGATGATCGCCAAATGTTTAGGGGTTGAAATGGACCAAATACTGAAAAAATGTCGGATTTTGCAGTAGCTATACACGTCGCAATTATAGACAAATCGACGCGGAATTTCGCTTGTAGCTAGAGTTTAGGGCGGGGAAGAGGCCTACCAATTTGGGTGGTCATCGGATAATATTTA